TATCTTTTGTGGGTTTGTTGGTTTTTTTTTCTACTTCTACTTCTGTTTTTACTTATACTTCTGTTTCTTCATCTTCTTCTTTTCCTTCTTCTACTTCTTCATCGTTTTTTTTTATGCTCGTTGTGAGTTAGTCATTTTTTCTCTTCTCTTCTCTTCCTTTTCTTCTTTATCTTCTTGTTTTTTTTACTTCTGATGGGTTCTTGGGAAATACATTCAACCTGAGAGAACTATATGTTGTGGATAGCGAATGATTCTCGTATTCTCCTCAGACTAAAAAAATATAATTGTAGTAAAAAAGAAGAAAGTGATATGTAAACCGGAAGTCTACATTTTCCCCCAAGGCCTCCTTTTACCTCCAGTTGGAAGAGTCCGAAAGTGTTCTTGAATCCCAAACCTAACCGGATACGCTAAAACAATTCACTTGACTTCATCATTAACCGATTTCCTTTCATAAATTTATTTCCTCGCATATACACTGCGGAATTCGATCATCTCTTGTTTCCAGGTAATGTTCAAACAGAGCTTCAACATTGGGAAAATCAGTTCGCTGGAGACTGGCCACGAGCACAGAGGTTTTGCCGAAGTCCAGTGCCTGCCTTTATATTCTATCCTCCTCGCCCTCAACACCACCAAGGTCGACTACTTCAGCCTCGACGTCGAAGGAGCTGAACTCGACGTCTTGCGAACGATTCCTTGGGATAAAGTCGACGTTACGGTAATTCAAACCAACTTTTTTTTTTCGTAGGATCTTTTTTCTTTCTAGTATTATTTTCCTATGCATACAAAAAAAAAGTCCTAATGCTTATCATTGGTAATCTTATTGTTATTGTCATCATCACTATTATTATTATGTATTACCTTTGATTATCATCAGTATTACCATCGTAATATTATCAGCAGCAGCATTATTGTTCTTACAGTTATTGATGTTATTACTATCACTATCACCATCATTCTCATCATCACCATAATCACCATTACCATTATAATCCTCCTTGCCATCATCATCATCACCATCACCATCCTTCTCCTCCTCATCATCATCATCGTTATTATTATTGCTGTTGTTGTTATCACTATTACTATTATTATTAATAGTTATCATCGTCACTATTATCACCATCATTATCATTTTACAGACGCTCTCCGTGGAATTCATCCACGACAAAGAGGGCAAAGACGCCATCAAGTGGTACATGGAAGGCAACGGGTATAAAGTGTATTCGGAAGTCACTCACCCGGGTAGTCTGGCCAACGACTTCATCTTCGTTAAAAAAGATTTCCAGATCAACAAAGTTCAAAGTTAACAAGTTGGGAATGTATATTGGTACATTTTAAGATTCTCTTTTTTCGTTCATTTTATTTATTTATTTTTTATTGATGATTATTTTTATGTGTGTGATTTGATGTTTTTTTTTTCTTTTTTTTTCTTTCTTTTTTTTGTATTGATTTTCGAGAACGTGTCGAAAGTGTCGATACGTTGGACTCGTAAACAAAACACCGGATGGAATAACAGGATAGTGGAATGACAAGAATCTTAACGTTATTATGTGGATATATGTTTTTTTTTCTTGTGTTTGTTTCTTTTGGAAAGTGTGTGACGGGCATTTTGCAAAGGGCATGGGCTTAATATATCTCTCCTTCTTGCTCTCTTCCACATATCGATTGGTATATCTACCAGTTCAGTAAGTTGGTTCATTTTTTGTGGTTATTTTATTTAAAGAAACAGAAGAATGTGAGATAGGTAGATGTTATAGCAGTATTAATGAATGTAAAACCGAAATGAATGTTTTACTGTATATGTATGTTTATATCTATATATATATTTATATATGTGTATATATATACCTATATATATGTGTGTGTGTGTGTGTGTACATACATAAACATACACGTGTGTGTGTGTGTGTGTAAATGTTTGTATGTCTATATATAGTGTGTTGATATATATGTAATCTTAACATCAATCCCCAATGCAACTATAACAAGGTTATAGCTATAGCATTTATTTTTTTCCTGTTGTAAATTCCGTACGGTTATCATTTTCTGGCCGTTATTTATTTCCTAATGTTCATGTGATCACCTGTCTCTGAAGCACCGGAATCTGAACTGCACAAAGGTGTGTGATTAGAAGAGGCAATTGATATTCATACAGGCTCTGCAACACCATTCTTCCATCATTTATCCATTTGAGGTTTTTGTCACGAGAAAAAAAATACAATCATATCTTTTATATTTGTCAGATTGTGCGAAAAAGTTATGCAGAATTCAGTGTGTGTGTGTGTGTGTGTGTGTGTGTGTGTGTGTGTGTGATATTTATATATCTATGTATTATTTATGATTGTCCATATATTTTGTTTTTCTAAAGCATACAACACATTTTCAGCGTGACTTCTCCGATATTCGATTGCTGCACATTGATAATTTCATGGGTGTGATGATTATTGAAACATTTCCTTAGAATTATAGATGACATTACTCTAATTCGAAATACTTGTAAATACAATCTATTTCTTGAATAGGTCATATGTGTTCCTCTGGATTCGTAACTCCTCTAACCCAAACTTTTCTGTTCAACATCATTATAACATTCAGAGGAACTTTTGATTATCATACTGTTTAACATTGGGTTCAAGCACACACACACACACACACACACACACACACACACACACACACACACACACACACACACACACACACACACACACACACACACAATTATATCAGCTAATTAGGTTACGTATTTTAAGTGCAACACCTAACTTGTCAAGTAAGTAAAATATATATATATTTATATATATATATATATATAGGTATGTATATATAAATCAGAAAGATATTTGCAAAGCATTGATATATTCTGTCATGGAACAACTTTAATCACTCCTGTGTTATTTTGTTGTACCGTTTTTTATTACTGACGGAAACAAAATTCAGTTCCTCACACTGACAAATTACTTCACATTCCATTCATAACAATCGTTCATAAAATCATCATTATTATTAAAGACAGTTGTTGTGACAACGACTTAAAGGTACTAACATCATTGTCAGTATAGTACAAGCACTTTTAGTTGTGACGACGGTATTTTTTCGATGTAATGAAGTGTTATTACAATTACTGTGAACTCTCCTACTTTTTCTTCGTCTACTACCACCACTACTACTACATCTAATCCTACTACGAGCGGAAATACTATTACTGATCTCTGCTGATACACGTAAGGTATTTCAGCTGTATCAGGTATAACTGCATGCGCATCATTATTCACCAATTATTATATTCATACTATTCATTGTTATAGTTTCATTGTTCATTATCCATGTTGATTACATTGATTTTTTTTCCAGACTTGATAGCTGTGATCGTAACTGTCAAATTCACATAGCTCATCAACATATTTCTGTCATTAGTACAACTACTGTAATGATATTTGTGGTATCTAGACACATGTATTTATTTACCTTTATGAAATTTAAGTGAGAGTGAATTATAGATAACGAGTGATATTGACATGTTTCATAGTTCATTCGTTTTCTAATGTGCCCAGTGTTGGCCTTTGGAGGTACTGTTCAAGGAGACAAAAGCTCCTTGTGAGACGTTTTTACATATTCAAGTCATCTTAAAGTAGGGTGCAGCTAGAGTTTGATTTTATAGTGTTTTATATATACATATAGATGTTGGAGACAATGCATATTTTCTAGTGCATGTGTGATTTGAAATAAATATATGTATATTTGAAGTGTTTTTCATATACCCTGTCATGGGCTTCTGTGTTTTGAGTTACCTAATAGGGCATGTTTTAATGCAATGTAATTATTTATAACATACATATGGTTGTGTGTGTGTGTGCGTGTGCATGCGTGCATACGTGCGTGTGTGTGTGTGTGTGTTTGTGTGTGTGTGTGTGTGTGTGCGTGCATACGTGTGTGTGTGTGCGTGCATACGTGTGTGTTTGTGTGTGTATGTGTGTGTGTGCGCATGAATGGTAAAGTACTCTACCGTGTAGAAAAAAAAACACAATGCACAAATAAGATCATTGGAAAAGTGAAACAAAAGTCTCAAAACGTGAATTTCATCTTCAGATCTATATAACGAGATCTAGGAGGATTTCGAAACTTTTGTCTCACTTATCAATAAATCTCGTTTGTCCATCGTGGGTTTTTTTTCTACTATATACATATATAAATAAATAAGTATGAATGTATACACTAGATATGCATATTATCGGAAATATATGTAAAAAAGTTACAAGGTTACAAGGCAGTCTGCCCCTGAATTAGGAAATCGCAAGGCTAAGAGAATAGAAAATGATAATAATGATGGAGAAAGGCCAATATTTGTAAAACAAGGGAAGGCGATGCCAGTTTGTTATTTCCTGATATTGGATGCATTCTAGTTGATTGTGACATTATGAAATGACGTAACCCTTTTACGATATCACCAACAGGTATTAGAGAAACATGACAGTTAATTGTAAAATGCAGTTAATTCTATGACAGACACTTTCAACTCTTGTTACTTTTTGTTTATTATTATTATTATCTCTATTGTTATTATCATTATTGTTGATGGCAACATTATCTGCTTAGAGATTTTAATTATCATTGTTATTTTGCCATGATTATTGTTACTAATAGAATTATTGCATCAATTACCACCATCTTTATTACCACTATAATAGATGCTACATTTTCATCATCTTGTGGTCTTGTTTATTTATTTCATTACTGTTTAAAGTGCGCCATGCTTCAACCGTAATTCGTAAAATAGGACATTAATATACAATAACACAGCTATACTTTAATCAGGTAACTACAATATGGCATTACAGAAGACCATCACTTTTACCTGTGAGAACTACACAATTAAAATACAGGTGAGACTTTCATTAGCACCTGTATCGATACTTCAAAGTACAGTAATCTCATTATTATCTGTATTACCATAATGTTCTTATTTCAGGCAAATCTAGTGACGTTCAGGTTTTGAAGAA